TAAATGTAAAATTCATAACATGCGATTATTGGCTCCCCAAATTATTTTAGAGCAAAAATGTATTAAGGTTTTTTGTAGAAAAAAATTTTTTACGTCAATCAACCGTATTAGTTTTCAATTTTTTGCATAATAAAGACGGAAAATTGGAAAATAAAACCCGCATCTTTTTCAATAATCTGCGATGCCATGGAATTTTCTAAAACAAAAAGATATCCAGTTATCAATTAGCAGCAGTTCGAAATGGATTTTATGATCGACTTGGTTACTGTATTGCAGTTAATGGTGACTTATTCGAACATTTATTGTAAATTGTTATATTAGGAAACCGTTTTTAGTAATTTGGTCTTTCTTTCTGTTGAATTCGCTGTTCTAAATATAATACTTTTTGATAGAATTTGATTTGTTTTATAGCAGACATTCCATGGCATGACGGATATTGGCGTAGTTTTTGTATTATAAAATTCCATGGCATCACAGATTATTGAAAAAGATGGGGTCTTATTTTTCCAATTTTCAGTCTTTATTATGCAAAAAATTGAAAACTGATACAGTTGATTGACGTAAAAATTTTTTCTACAAAAAACCTTAATACATTTTTGCTCTAAAGGAATTTGGGGAGCCAATAATGGCATGTTATGAATTTTACATTGAAATCCCTATGATGCGTGACGCAAGTCACCACCCTGTATGTATACAGTGACAAAGAGATGTTTATTTCTTTTATTTGTTGCTCATTTCATTGTTAATACTTGTATCCAACTATCGAATGTAAGATAGGTAGGTAATCCTTGTTAAAAAAAGTAGGTACATGCAGTTATACCTTCATATTTATAATTAATGAACGTAGAAACCTAAAAACACCACTTCTCTCCCATGGGTTTCTAAATTGTTGGCCTCGTAATTAAGCGAATTAGATTTGACAAGCGGGAATTAGGTACTGTTAAGCTTAAGATAGTAGGTAACGATTGAAATGAAACTGAAATGGGAATAAATTATATGTAACTGGTTATAGTAAGGGTTCTTACATAGGGGTTTACACACTTATAACATGTCGGATTAAATCTAGCGAACCTTTCCTTAAAATAAATTACACAACAAATAATGGTCCAATTTATAACCCCATTCATAAAGTGAATGAAATATTACACATCGTTCATTCTGCACTATTCGTTTATTCACAATAAGCTGTATATCAAAGCGACTGTATAAAATATAGGTTCTCTTTATGCTGAACCGTGTCTGTAAATTTATTGCCTCAATATATTTATATGGAAGGCAATTTTGTAAGGAGAAGCTTTTCCCCTAATACGCTGGCAGCAATAGTTTGCACCGATAATAGAAACATATTACCCTCTCACGACTTCAACGACTCGTAGCCATTACGGAAAGGCTGGTTTATGGTGTTAATGCGCTCTATTACCTCCGCAGTGAATTACGAGGAGCAAAGTAGACATACATTTGCTAATGAATTTGAATACCTTCAATAATGAACACTGAACGCCCGAATTTATACAATCTCGGTGTTTGACGTAGAATCGCCTGAAAGGCAATCTTTGATATTTTTCATTTTTAACTGTCGTAAACAAAGAAGATAGCTTTGGTCTGATATAATCTTAGCCAGAAGAGTCCCCAGGGTCCAGTTTACGCAAACACCGACTACACAATAGTGCCCAGATGGCTAACCGGAAGAACCTTCTCTATAAAGTACTTTTGTAACCACATTACACAGCACACTAAGGATTCTGCTAAAACATTACCGAACGTATGCAACAGCCATACACTTTCTAGATTAGATTTGAACTTTTCTTATCGCCGATGCAGAACATTGCAGCACTTTCGGATAAATTCTTCTTTATTATCTCTAATGTCGCTTAATTCTGTTTTGTAGTGGAAATAAAGCATTTGGTCGTACAATTTTATGAATTAGCATGTAATATATTATGAACTGGAACACTTATGGGATTTAATTTCATTACGTGTAAGGGAAGCCACAAATAAATAACAGCTGACATATTTTTAAAGGGTAAACTGTAATGGTTGGTAACCTTTTATTCCATTAATTCGTTATTATTACAATTAATATTATTTTTATTACTTCCTGATTTTTTCCAATTGCCGACATTCTGAGAGCACTTGGTACTTATTCAATACGATACCACTGTGACAATACTAACCGTAAGGCAGCTCCTGTTTATCTGGGTAATCCTGCTATTCACTATGTTGTTTCCTAACAGTTGAACCAAAGTATATTTTCAATATGGCACTTCAAGTTATAATATTTCCATTGAATATTATGATTTTATTACAGTTTATCACTCCTATATTCTGAGAAAAATTGCGTAAAGTTTGAGTGTGCACCTAGGTAGAACAGCTTCCAGTACAATCTTATGTGAGTGACTAAAAGAGAACGCGCCTAATTCTTCTATAATACCGATGCGATTAAGGGCTCAAGCGAAATCTAGATAGGCAATCCGAATGCCAATTTCTCTTAATTCGGGTTCGCTTTGATTCCAGGTATCACAGCGAAGAACAGCTTGGATCCAGCTTCTGGAGGAAGAAACGTAATCGAAATACAAATCAAATTTTAGCTCCTGACATACGGGAAAGTCGGGACTAAAATCGCAGAAAGTTCCAAAAACGTTTAAATTTGGCGCTATTTTCGACACCATCTCGAATAACTCACTTACGGTTAAAATTTCGAGTTAGCAAACGGCATTTTCGGATTCAGCACATCAAAAATCTTATTTTGATATACCCCTTTGGAAAAAGAAAATTGTTTACCCGATTGAAATGGGAAAGTTGTAGCCCTTAAAAAAACCGAACTGCGATAAAGCCTTCGCCCTTATAATATGGACAGAGGTATGAAACATGTGCAAATTGTGCACTGTAATTAATTATTCTTTAAAGAAATCTGCAAAACTAAGCTCCAAATTATTAATAAATATTCCATTATTATTCAGATGGGGCCAAAGATCAAGTACAGATACATCCTTGCTAAACTCACATATTTATTAATCCGAGGGAACCCGTGCATTGATGGCTTTTTGACTTGGTGGATTATGTTATACAAAGAATAAATTCAAATTTTCGCAAACATCACATTATTTGGCATATGTCGCGGTCCACGGATGGCAACAAAGCAGTGGTGAAACGCCCCTTATAGTGCATACCAGGGACGCATCCCCACGACAGTTGACAAGTATCAACTGAAGAACCTTTTAAGGGGAAGCGTTGGCTAAATCATAATACGAATTAGTATTTATTTTAGAAGAGCCAAAAACGATATAGTTTTCAGCTATTAAACAAAATCATAACAATCTAAAATCTAACAATTTTTTTTTTACAATCAGCATGTTGCTCTGGAATTTCAAATGTATGTCCTATTTACGACCATTAATCTCAAAGAGTTCTACCACTTCATTCTACCACTTCATTAAAGTGGTTAAGCAATTAATGGATTTACAGAATGAACTTTATCGCTCTAGACCTTTTGCCTGTTGATTGGTCTACAGTTACTAAATGGCACAAGAAAAACATATTTCATTCCTTTTATTTGGTACTACTTTCAATATTCGTTCTTTAGTGTCTATACGGTTTATTAACGGTTTATGAACACATAACAACAACGTAACACTAATTTGAACAATCTAAATCTAACGTTAACAAAGGCTGCAATTTAAACATTTTGGTGAACGTAAACGGCGAAACAACGAATGGGGGAAACGTCGAGGATCATGTACCTACATACACTGACCCGACAGACGTATACTCGTTGGTATGGAATTGCAACGGTAATCCACTGCACCAGTTTCCAGTGGATTTCTTCTCTGTGAAGACGCTTTGTAGTCGCTGGTAAAGGTGATACTGGTTGTGGTAGTGGTTGTTTTGTTGGTTACAACCGCCGTGCAGTCTTATGGAGTTTTCTTACTAAAATCACGACCGGGCGCATTTATTTAAAAGCGCAAGCCAAATCGAAATAGATACGAAGCAAATATAGAGGAGATAAAATGTACAGAGATCAAAAAATATTTAATTGAGTGCCTTTGATTCCGTACTGAAGACTGTAATACCACCTTTGGATGTTTATTACACGATAATTACGTTACTTACTCGCAGAGTTTTTTGTGCGACATTATATATGCCTTGCAATGTTGTAATGCCATTTTTATTAAACGCGATTAAAATTGCAGGTGCCAAAGTTAAGATTCTCAAGGTAGAAAAGGTACAAAACGTACATGGTTACCTATTAAAAGCGTATGAAATACCATTCGTACGAATCGATTCAATGCGTTCTAACGTTTTTCGGCCGAAATTAATAAATTAATAACGATTTTCTTCAAAATCTATGAAGTGATCGTTAGGTTGCAGATGTAGAAACAAGGATCTAAACATATTTGTATTGCCGAAATGTTTCGGATCAACAGTATCAGAAAGCTGTCATCGAGAAACAACCGTATATTATCTATTCGTGTTTTTGCGAATTGTTTTTTCCTTTATACCCACTCTGTGGTAACCTATAAATTTCAACATCGATGCTGCATATGCCGAGACATGAAAGGAAGCCGCTTTTTAGAAATTGAATCAATTATTGCAAAAAAGTCACACGATTAATTTAGTACGAAATGTTTCGGCTTTGAATGGGTACTTGCATATTCATTCGTATATAAATTTCGTTTTCCAATCCAGCATTTAAATTAATTAGTGAAGCAATAATTATGAAACTATCGTAATATTTATTCATTTTAGCAATTGCGTACGAGGTTCATTTATTCTTTCCCATAAGAGAAGCGGAATTATATCATAAATTATTGGTAGTTAACCATAATTGAGCTGGGTTTAAATGTCACCAGTCATAAATTTTTTTTTATACTAAAATTATTCACGAACTTGTCAGAGAAAGTCTTAATTACTTACTTTGCAGGATAATATAAACCAATAAAATTTCAGAATATAAAATAAGGTCGTGCAGTTATATTTATTTATGACTGAAATATTTGAAAGTTGATTTTTAATGAAAACGAATTTTTCATTTCCTACATAAATATTTATAGTTACGCTACTTGCTGATTTACGTGAGTATTAATAACTTGTTAAACTTCAAAATGGACATAAATCTTATAATTTAGTATGGAATTGGTAAAAATGGAAAATCGTTTGGGAGATAAAAACGCTGGCGCCCTATAAAATTAACTGCCAAAATATTGAATAGATAGTAATGATATGTATTAAAAATGAATGGACTCTAAAAAGAATAATAATGGATTTGGGGTAAGATTAATCGCAGGTTTTTGACGGTAAAATACACCTTTTCAGTAATCTCCTTTTCCAGGTTCAAATTGCAGCTAATAATGTCGAAAAGATCCTTCTGTGTATTTTATCCCGACTGGAGCCGCCTGGGTGGTTTGACAACATGTTAATGCCTTGCTGGAGGTGTAGGTATTATAAAAAGGTAAAGCGAGCCGCGTCGTTTGCTAATTTCCTGCGACGTATTCGTTTATTTCTCCCTTAAAAGTTGTAATTAAACTGCAGCCAAACCCCACATTATTTATAACCAAAATTTATCGATCGTTGTTCTCAAAGTGTAATTAAACAATTAGTCTACGTTGTACTATCCTTACACATGGACATAATGTTACTTGCAAACGTCAAATACCTGCAGGTAGATAAAATGAAACGCAGTGGGAGGTTGAAAACCATTAGACAGGATCGTCTTTGTTAGAGGCGCCATTTAAAACCCAAGGCAAAGAGAAACCTTTGATGGACAGTCTAAAGGTAGTGTTTATCTTAGCTCATGACGAAGCTACTATACACAAACTACAAAGGGCGGCGCGCCTATAAACCAACAAGTTTTCAATTTTTTTTAAAACGTACATTCGCCTCCAACATAATTTACAGCTTATAATTAGGTTTAAAAAATGAATAGGTATAAAGCCAACCTCACCAACGTAATATAGTAGCATTTATCTTAAAACATTAATTCTGTACTTTATTATCGTAATAAAAAGTAAATGTATTTTATAGTTGACTAACTTGATTAAATAAATATCTTTCTAGGAATATTACAAATGTTCATAAATTAGGAATTAATCGACGTAGTTTTGTGGCATTAGAAGATCATTTTAGGACCATTTGGTTAAATTAGGTACTGAAACGTATCTGACAGTTAATTACGTTGAAGGAGCGAGTATGTCCAACGCTACCTACTTCAGTCACATTTTAACGAAACTTGTCATAAAGCTGTCGTCGGCCACTTACAGATGACAGACTCAAAATGTGGGCCTGGGCAAGTTACCAAAATATCAGCAACCCGCCTCTTTTAGGAGCGCATGCAAGATACAAACAAGCATTCTTTTTTTAATTAATGGCAAACCTTTCATCAAACTTTATAATGGGCAGAATTTGGTGTTGCTGACTGCTGGATTACACCATTGAATAAAAAATTATTTATTCAATGATTACACGTACATACTTTATGATAGTCATTCCAGTTAGAATTCCACTGCCCTTGTTATTTGTTTACCCAGATGTCTGTTTGTTGTTTTTTATATTTTGCTATCACAAATGATATTTTTGGGCTCCGTAAAGGTAATTTGTAGGTTTATCTAGAAATACAGGGTGTTACATATAGCTATGTAAAAAAAATTGGGAGCTAGAGGGGATCAAAACAAGCACTTTTTCCAAATAAACCGAGAGTCCAACGTGTTTCGTTGGGGAGCGACCTGCAAAAAAAAGGTGATATTTGCATGACTTCTTTAAATTTTTTCTCAGCAACCATAAGAGTGAGAAAGACTGGTGGTACGTCTTTGAATAAGTTTTCGATTCGGTTTCCGATTTTGCAAAAAATTTTTCAAAATTCCTACCACGAAAGGGCGCACCCCTAAATAAGTGTGCGAAAAATTCTGATTTCGACGAAGTTTGGTATCTGGGGGTTTTTGAACATGAAAATCAAGAATATGTAATTAGTTTTTGAAAATTCGAAAAAACAAGTTCCACTGCTATTCTTGGTCGAACAACGAAAATGGAGATAATTCCACGAAATTCGTTGTGTGCGTACTTGATGAGTTAAGGAACAAAATTATCGAGCAGTTTTTTAAAATCACGTTTCACACAAAAGTTATTCTCATTTGAAGATTTGGCCTTCGGATTACACAGTGGGAGATACATCGGAATAATAATGGCTACTGCCTTTGGATAATTCCCTGGATAATTCCCACATAGGTTTTGTTGTTTAAGTAGTATCGGCGTCCGGCCTTTTTTTTTACTCCTATGTAGTTACAATTTTGTGGACTGTATGGGCTGTGCTTGGAAGGGTTTTTTTGAATCTCGGATTATAGGAATTTCATGGTTATAGTTGATTTCGCTTTTATATCATTCCAGTTCAGTTAGAGGATATACTACCAAAGGTCAGGTAGATGTGTAGATATAGGTGGACGCCTTTAATATTAACTGCACTCATGGGTATGAGACAATGATAATTTATACATTCACCTGTAGTAGTATATAAAATTCCATCGGAATCAATTTAATTGACCCTCATTGATCCCGCGAATAAAATCCAAGATGACCGACAAGTGCACTTACACTACTTTCATTTTCATTTACAGTAACCATGAAGTAGTTATATTCGGAGAATAGATGAGTTTCAGCTCAGCAGACATCTCAATTATAGATTCGTGAACTCGTTTAAGCATTTCATAAGAGAACGGTACGTGATCGATAAGGAGTGGTTAATGCGCGTTACACGAAAGATATATCCAAAAATTACAATACCAAAATCAGACCTAATTCCAATTAATTCAAACTTACGTACCCCATTAATAAATGGGTTTCGGATTGCGATATAGGTATAACAAAGATAGGTAATTTAAATGAAAACATAATATGGCATAACCTAAAAAGAAACGTGTTAACAAAAAGGAATAATTTTACGTAAAGAGGATACAGCCACCTCTCCATTCGCGTAAAGACGCTTAGAAAATGAATTTAAACAATTTTAACGTGATGACGATTTTCCCATTAAAATCAACATTTTTCGCAAAGATCCACTTGTCATTTCAACGACAAAAGTAAAAGTGATGTGATCTCAATCCTAGTGGTACCAACTACTCCCAACACACTAAGAGCGCATTCAATCAGTTACACAAACCAAGAATACATTCAACGTTACAAGGTTCGGAAGTGGTTCGCCATACAAATTTTTCCACACGTTCACTTTCAATGAGCTTTTATTCTCGAATGGGTTTTGGCATCCAGATAGCGGGCATAGGTATAGACTTTCAGCCAGAGCCAGAGTATATCGTGTTCGATTTAATGAACTCATCCTGCGAAAAGTTCGTAGCGTAAAAAATGCCGAGTAAATGTTTTTTTGAATTGTGGGATCGGTTGAAAAGATAGCGCTAACCAATAGGGAAAATAAATATTGCCATTTTTGATTTTGGGATGAAGTCATTAAGAATGATAGAAGGGAGTATTCGTTGTTATATAGCCGATTGCGATCAAAAAAGTAATAGTTCCGGTGTTTCTTTAAACAATTCGGAAGGAACATTTTTCGATCGCGATTTAAAGAAATTCAAGCAGTTACATGTCGTCTTCGAAAACAAGAAGAAAAGAGTGGATGCCTGTCATCATAATAGTGGTGGCGAGTACTTTCGAGCAGTTGTTCTAGTGTGCATCTAGTTTACACAATGCCATCGTTATTAACAAGGTGTATAAGGGATAAAATCGTTTCCATTTTTGTATTATTTTGCTATTTTTCATAATTTGAAAGCTCAAAAAGTTAAAGCAAGGGTTAAACCGTTGATTGGGGTTAAACGTCAAAGGTTTAGGTATTTTGAATTTTAAGGTTAAGTTTGTACGCATATTATCGCGAAGAAATTTCTGTATATCATGCAAAGGACTTTAATCAAGTGAGAAGAGATATATTGTTGTTTAGATTTAGAAGATCAATTTCTCCTTTTTCGGTGCAGAAAAACAATAATTTCAGTCGAGAGGTATTTTCGTTATTATTGGAGATAGAGGTATAGTTGTGCGAGACAAAATATGTAAAATCAAACAAGGTAGTTTGTTTAATAAAACATTTTGTTTAATCAGACAAACCGTTTAAGAAATATAATAGGTTAAACATTTTCAAAAATGTCTGCCTGCCTGTCGGTCTATACTCTCATTTCCGGCTAAACGGCTGAATCGATTGGAACCTTGTGAATTTATTACTAGGTGTATATGCGTTAAGTGGTTGCGATACACTGATACAGTGAGTTTTCTTTTTAGGAAAGGAAAAACTATTGCATTCAAGATGTGCCTGAAATATTTAAATGGTCCACAATTACATTCATATACCATGTTCGAATTTAGACATTCAGGTTCCCGACTACTCTATTTTCGTTGTCCCGCCAAGAATTGCTATGGAATTTTTTTTCAAATTTTCATAAACTAATTTCATATTCTTGATTTTCATGTTCAAAAAGCCCCAGATACCAAATTTCGCCGAAATCAGAATCGTGCACCCTTACGCAGTAGGAATTTTGAAAACATTTTTGAAAAATCGGAAAGGGTATACCCGAAAACCTATTCAATGACGTGCCACCGGTCTTGCTAACCCTTATGGTTGCCGAGACAAAAAATTTAAAAAGAAGTGCAAATTTCGCCATTTTTTTGAGAGTGGCTTCCAAATGAAACACGTTAGGCCCTCGGTTTATTTGGAAAAAGTGATTGTTTTTATCCCCTCTACCACCAATTTTTTTTTACATACTTATATGTAACACCACAGATTTATAGTATATTTAAATCTGTGGTAACACAAACGGCAAACTGCGAATATTATCCGCTAGCCGACAATGAATAATAACCAAATTATTTCGTAAGTAATTTTCCCAATGCCCAATTTCAATTTCATTTGCTCCTTTACTTTTCAATTTATAGCATTTTTTAACAAGCATCGTACGAAGTAAATACGCATTAGTTTCGTTAATGGCGTACAATTTACGCCCTGCCTCATTCACTAAAATTGAAACAAGATTTTTTGTTCCGATATTTATAAAGTTAATGGTTACGGTTCGGTAGTAAACTAAAGGGACTCTATTGACGGCAGTCAGGCAAGCTTGTCTTTGTTGGTCCAGCGCTTCAAACGTGCCGATGTTATGTCGGCAGGGGAACCCTCCAATAAAACTAATAAATAAGGAAAGGTATAATTGTGTTTTACTGATTTGTGAATGCCAATAAGTGTTGCTTTACTGTCCCGGAGCAATAAATTCTTTTGACAAGCGCTGTACCGCCTTTCATTAAATTTATGGGTTTGTATTTGCGACAATAAAAATCCATATTTCAGATGAAGAAATATTTATGTGTTAAATAAATCCTGGTTATACATGATCGCATTCTGCAGCTGCGTTCCATATATCGTTCGTTTAAGCTATAAATTTGGCACCTTATATTATATTTCCCTCAATTACGTTATGGAAAAGGTATAAGGGAAACTGACACCGACGAAAACGAAATTTGGCCCTAAATCTTTAAATATTGTAATACAAGTGAATTAAAAAATATTGATTGCACATTACTTAGTCTATTAATTATAAACGTTGTAACGTAAGTTTTTTTCCTGGTACCTACCTTCCATTACTGAGTAAAGCTCCGTTCTTCATCTGTTTTTGCTCCAATGAATTGCCCATCATACTTTTGCTATTATTCTTGCATGCAGGGTTACACACGTTGTGAATATATGAATGACATCCACCACCACAAATTAACCCCTATTATGGATTAATTAAAAAAAATTGTTTACCCAAAAATAATTAATAATTTGTCACATCGTTTACATTAAAACAATTTATTACTTTAAAACTACCCCTTACTACATTGCAGTGCAGTGCAAACCACTTTAATAGATAAAAATTTGCAAAAAACAACGTACAATTACATACAATAATGTCCGGTGAG